ACACCATGTCACTCACTTTGACTCTGTATCTTACAGAGTTTTGTCCTACTTTAGCCAGAAGTTACATCCAGCCACTGTGAGTCTGCAGAACACAGCTTAAGGCAAGGAAAATGCTCAGAAAAGTAAGAGAACAGTCATCACCCTGTCTCTGCAGCACCCTAGCCACCAAGCCAGAACTCATTACCCTCGGGTTGAACGCAAGTTTCAACTCGCTCATTGAACAGAATCAGTTCTGTCCTCCCTCCAGTCAGTCGGTAATGGCCAAGTGGGGTATGGCAGCAGGGGATCAAAAATAGATTGGGGGACAATCAAGGGAAGGGGAGATTAGGACCAAAGCATTGAAAAGAGATGAGGTTATGTTCTGGGGATTACATTTCCTAAGGCAGAGGGGATGTCCTTGTAAAGATCTCCATCAAAAGTGCTCAGATGACATGTTTCCAAACTTAAGAGGTCGGAAGAATATCCAACACAGGGAAATCTGGGAACTCAGCACCCCACGTCCAAACCAAGGTGAACAAGTGTAGCCACCTTCCTGCCTGTGCTAGAGGGGCTCCACCACATCCTGGCCATGCCTTTCAGTTTCCCCACAGTGAGGTGAGCCCCAAGAGAGCAAAGCCTGACCTTCTGTGTGTCCCCCCGCCTCCATGCCTGGACCAGTGCCAGGCACACAAAAGGTACTCATAGGTACTAGTTGAATGAATGAATGAATGAGTGAATGAATGAATGAATGAATGGACACAGCCCAGTTATGATGGCTTCCTCTAACTATTTCCAGGCTCATTGCTTTTCATTATTTGGGAGCAAGATTAGAAAGTGGATTTTTTTTTTTCTAAATAACTTTTGTACAACCAGGAAGCCTTGTAAACGGACCCCAGCAGTGCTACAGCCCCCCAGGATACCCTTCCTTCTACTTCCTCCTCATGTCCAGCACCACCAGAGGATGATGTCTTCCCACCTACGGTCAGTCACTTGTCAGGTGGACCCTACAGCTGTGAGTTCCTGCCAATACACATATGCACACGGGATGCCAATATACTTAAAAATGCTGCCTGGTTTCTCTGAGTCCCCGGGCCCGGCCAGCCCAGTTCCTGAGGGGCCGTCCCCCCGCCACTGTCCATCAATGGACAGACTCAGTGCCCCATCCCTGTTTGATTCACAGCCCTGCTGCATGCTCGGTTGCTTGTGTCCAGAATCTGTGAACAGCTTCAGGCCTTCTGTCAGGCAGAGAAGAGAATGGGGGCAAGAGGTCGCCGTCAGAACTCTAGGGCAAGCATCCTGGTGAACCCAGCTGGGAGAGCTCCTCCAGAGAGGGCTTTTTTTTTTTGTCTTGCAGGGACTCTTTTTCTGACCTGCCTGTACAGCACGAGCCAGATGCCTGGCCCAAGGGAGGGGAGAGGGACAGAGATCTCCCGTGCACCTGCGTATGGGGGAGCCACCAACGGGGGGCTTCTTGGAGTGACTCCGCGCCTGTAAATACAGACGCCCGATGTGGGCACTCCTCTGTTTAGATACCCCACTGTTTAGTTACCTGCCAACAGCAGAACCTTCACGCCGAGAGTCGGACTTGCAAGAAGACATCTGCCTGGGACCGGCTGCCTGTTTCCCTCTCCGCCCTCCCCAACCGGCTCATGTTTCTACCACTGCATGTGGAGGAGGGCTTGTCCCCAGATCCGTGGCATCCCTCATGCCCAGACACCCAGCTCCTAAGCAAGGAGGGCTGGGAGCGCCTGCCGTCACTCATCCCCACTTCCAGCTGAGGGGTCGCCCTGGAGGGCAGATAAAGGAATTTTTATTCACATCGGTCTTAGGACCAGTGACCCAAATGAGGTCTTCCCTCTACCAAGAGGCACAGATGTTCATTAGACTGAACATGACTCCTGAAGTTCGGCTGAGTACCTGGCCCAACCCCGTTTCTCAGCAGATTTTCAGAAGACCAACTTTATGAAAGCTCTGATATGGAAAAAAGCATTCAGAGCTAGGGGCACAAATTTCATGGCCCTCCGGCTCCTGGCCCTCCACGTTCATCACGCACCCACAAACGGGGAAAAGAGTGAGCATACAAACAAGAGTTGTCCCTGAGGTGCCAGGGTCCACCAGATGGACACCGGCACAGCAGCGGGCTTCACCTCCCTCCCCCGGGATCAGCCCCCCAGACCACAGTGCTGGGCGCCCAGGGTGGGGGGGGGGAGGGTGCCCACCTTCCCAGAGTGACCAGAGGGGACAGCCCGCAGGCTCCTGCAGGGCCACATTTAGGGGGGCTTGTGCATCCTTCTTGCAGTCCACCTCCTCCTCAAAGCAAAATACCCCAGGAGTGCAACGACTCAGGGGTGGGAGGGGTGTGGGGGCTTTGGTGGCGAGCAGCAGAGCCCAGGGCGCCTCTGAGGCCCAGGGCTGGCAGCTCGGCCCGGGTCCTCAGGCAGAAGAAAGCCCCCAGGGATCCATCACGCTACACACAGGCAAGTTCACCCGTTCAGCTGATGGGAAGTGACATTCAGTGATGATCTGACCTGGCCTGAAAACTCATTTTACAACAAAAGCTCAAACCAGTTGGGTAAGAAAAGTCAGTCCCTGCCTGACATTCCCCGGTGCGAATGTCCACCACTCTCCCAGGAAACTGTGTGTTTCCTCCGGGCCTCGGCTCTGCCATCCTGCTCCCGAATGTGCCCTGCCCCCACCACCACTGCTACCTCTCATGAACCAGTACCTCGGGGACAGCCCAGGACCCACTACGGCCACCGCGTTTGCTCTGCACACAGTGTGACTAGGACCCAGCCACCCCACGTGGCAGTTCCCTCCTCTCAGAAGCCGGGCGGTCAGCAATACTGATGAGGCTCCCCGCCGTGCACTCTTTGCACAGGGCACCCCTCAACTGGAGAGCCTGCCCTCAGGGAGGTTACAATCTGATGGGCCGCCCAGGCCCCTACTCCTCAGAGGAGCAGAAACAAACAAGAATGAGACCATCATACACCGATAAATACAGTCAGGATCCCAGTATCACCCTGAGACGATCCCAAGTCGAAATTGTTCATTCAGCAGAGGTTTACAGACAGCCCGGGGTGCCGTACTCCATACTAGGGATATAAAGATAAGTAAGACATGATCCCTACCCTCTGGGGGGCTGCCATGAGGCTCAGCCAAGAGCCCTCCAGGGAGGCGGGAGGGGAAGGCCTGGATAGACTCCCCTGGGGCATTTGGGAAGAGTCCCTAGTCTAGGTATGTGCACGCAGGAGATGCTTCCCACAGGGGATCTCTGAGAAGACCCCTCAGGAGTGGAGAGGAGTTGGGCAAGCACCTCAGGAAGGTGCAGGCCTGGGACGGGGCTGCAGAGAGTGGCCGGTGAGTGGAAACAAAAGGATGGGGACGGATCCGGGGCTTTCCTGAGAGCACTGTGGACATTCTGGGGAGGATGCAGGGCGGCAGCATTAGGGCCGAGGTCGTCTGCTGTCCGGGGGCAAAAGCTGCTGTGGGCGAGAGGCAGAGTGCAGGGCGCAGGCCCTGGGGCGGGGACTAGTGGCTGCGTGCCTGCTTTGAGATAGACAGACTCGGCACCCGAGCGCCCTGGACACACAAGAACACGGAGGCTCACAGAGGTTAAGTAGCTTACTCAAAATCACACGGCAGAGGTGCGGCTGAGATTTGAGCACAAGTCTCCTGGTCCCAGGCACCGCCAGACCACGGGACATGGTGGGGGCGGGGGGGGGGGTGGGCCTTGAACACCCCGCTAAGGAGTTTGGACTTTATCCTGAAGGCATTGGGGAAGCAGTGAAGAATTTTAAGTGGCAGTTTGCCACGAGCAGAGCTGCACCTGTAGATGTTCATCCTGGCAGCTGCATGGAGAATGAGCGGGAGGGGACCGTACACGAGACAGAGATGGCATGCATGGGTGGGGAGGCAGGGGCCCCCTGAACCCCCACGAGAGAAGCCAGAGGGGGTCTGGAGGACACAGTGGCTTCAGAGTGAAGGATGAACTCCACCGACAGTAAGAAGGTAGCGTCGGCCAAGCCTGGTGACGCGCAGAAGGAACCACTGGAGACGAGCAGGAGGCACCGATCGGATACCCCGGCAGGACGAGCCAGGCTCGGGTCCCAGGTCATGGTTGAGCTGGCCAGCTGGGTGACCAGAGACAACATCTACCCAGAGAATGAACTAAGAGGAGTAGGAGCAAGCCAGGGGAGTGAGGGAAGAGTCCAGTTTGAAGGGATTGCCAGGAGGAGATGCCCTGTTCTGCAAAGTACCTGTTCCTCCTGGCATTCCCTCCTGTTCACAGGAGATGCCCTGTTGACAGGGGGCACTCAGGAAAGACCCCTGGGGTGGTGCCCATGCCCGTGTTGGTGGGAGTGGGGGAAGTCATCAGCATCGTGACAGCATTTAAACCCAAGGAGAAGTGAACAATTGGGAAATGGCAGGCAAAGAATTCTGGGAGACCCCAGTCTTTCAGCAGGATCAACAGAGAAAAAGGAGCGTGGAGGAAAAGGTTGAGATAGACCGGCTCAAGAGACAGAAGTAAAACCAGGAGACAGGCCAGTCAGGGCTGGAGGAGGTCTCAGGGGAGCTTTGGAGGTGCGTCTGCTGGGCTTTGCAGTCGGAGGCCGGCAATGGTGTCAGCCGAGTGGTTGCACAGAAGCTTCAAGAACAGGCTAGGTTGGGGCGGGGGTGAAGGGGGGTGCGCTCAGCTGAATGGCTGAAAGCTGGTTCGTGACATGAATGGGTGGGCGGGAGGGAAATGCCAGGAGGAACAGGTACTTTCCAGAACATTGAACTGTCAGGAGCGGCAGTGACAGGGCCCTGGAGTCAGGGGGACCTGGGGTTGAAAGAGTGTTGCCAGTAAATTGTATTGAATGAGCCAGGAGTGTGTTAAAATGCTAACAGGGAGGAAGGGCTGGCTGGTGAGGAAAAGGTTCAGGTGGGGGGAAGACCACCGAACCCAGAATAAAACCCCAAGCCACAGGGAAGGCGCTGGACCAGAGGGTCCTCCCGCTACTGAGCTTCACAACCTTTACCTTCACGTACAAGGCGAGGTGGCAGGGGGCTGGGTGGGAGAGGGGCAAGTCAGCAGGAAACAAGAGCTTAGGGAGACAGGTGAGGGTTAGGGACAGTGACTGGGGGTGGGGGCCAGCATGGGAGGTTGCGGGGGGCACTCGGGGCCGCACTGAGGACTGAGCACAGCTGGGAAGTCCTTGAGGCTGGAAGGGGGGTGGGCCTCAAGCTCCCAAGGCCGGAAACTGAAGGAAGAGAAGGTGGGCTGGGAGAGGCTCCGGGCAGGTGGGCCGTGATGGAGGAGCCTCGCTGGGGGAGAGGGGTGGGAGGGGGAAGGAGGAGAAGGACCGTCATGAGGACAGTCTTCTCCACCAGCGCACGAGCTCACAGAAGCAGCCACGGTCAGCGAGGGGTCCCTGCTGGAGCTTCTCTGGGCACCTGGTGCCCCTTCCCCACCCAGACCCTTCCCTCCCCACCTGCTGTCTGCACCACCTCAGAGACTCAGACTTCAAAAGCCTGCTTGGCATCAAGTGGGGCAGACGGAGGACTCCAGGGATGGACAAGGAGGAGGTGCTCTCCAACCTCTTAGGTGACACCCCAGGCAGCCAGGCTCCCCCCCGCACCGCAGCCCCGGCCTTTTCCCTGTTCTCTGATCCTGCTGGCTCTTCACTTGTGGCTCTGCCCTCCCCTTCTCCACTGACCGCAGACTTGGTCTCTGACTCTAAGCCTCCGTGGATCCCACTTGGATTTCTGGCCCCGCCGGGGCTGTCACCCCTCTGTGGGGTCCTGCTCTTCCCCACAGCCCGGCTGGGATGTGCCTCCCCTGCCCCCCCATCAGCCACACGTTTAACCCAGGCCTGGTTGGAACTGGACCACACTCCCTGAGCCCAGTGGGCCCCTCTCTCACTCCCTGGGCGTAAAGAGGATTCAAGCACCTTGGGGCTGGCCCTGGCCTTTGCACTCCTCCTGACACACACACACACACAACAGGTGAGTGACTCTTCCCCCAGGGTGCTCATGCCCCTGTGCCCACACGTGGTGTGTGTGCAGTCCCCGCCCGCCAGCCCCCCTGGAGCCAGCCTGGGTCATTACAGCTCTCAGAACCCCAGTGCCCGGTTTCAGGTCCTGTGCTGAGAACCTCCGGCTCACGGGAAACCCCATAGCCACTTAGCACTGGACATTAACCTCACCTTACAGTGGAGGAGAGGGAGGCTCTGAAATGTTAAGTAACTTGTTCTGATGTCACACAGCTTGCAAGGGGCAGAGCCAGGACTCAAAAGCAAGGCCTTGCTCCTACCAGAGCCCAGGCACCTCGGCCTCTCCCCGTCGGCCCCTGCTTGAAGTGCCGATGGCTTTCTCTCATTCATCCATTCATTCATTTGCCAAACACTGACTCACTCACTGGGCTCCGAATACTACTTTGAAACTAACGAACGTTAAGTCTGGCATCCAAAGGAATAGGTTCTGATGGGCCAGAGGGTCAGGTGGACAGGGCCAGAGTGCAGCCTGTTCCTTAGGACTTAAAATCTGAGAGTTCCTGCAACTAGAGAAAGCCCTACGAACACTTAGGGTCACCTCTTCTTGCTCTCACTCACAGGACCCAAAAAAGGAAAGTTTGGGGGGAATGAGGGAGCCCTTCCCAGCCTCACTTGGGGAGACCAGACTTAAGAAAGAGCACCCAGGCAGGGCTTTGTCCCATTGATCTGGCTTCATATATGTACACAATTTTTTTTTTCCTTTTTGCTGGGGCAAAAGTTCAAACCAAGTCTTAGGAGACTTGTTATTCGCTTATTCAACACAACCCGCGCACACTGGCCCCACCACCAACACAGTCTCCATCCACCTAGGACACCCAACTGTCAGATGCCAAGGTTTCATTGTCAGAGAGCAGCTGAAAGTGGCGGTGAGTGTCTGACTTCAGGACAGCCATGTACCATGACAGGAGGTGGCTTTGTGTGACAGTGTCCATGGTGACAATGGTCTAATCGAACTCCTTCCAGAAGTTTGAAGGTGAGAGAAAAGGAGCTGGGAGTGTGACTACAAGCTAAAAGACACAGAGAGAGGCGTGCCAGTGAGCCGGGGCCAGGTGCTCTTGTGGCCAAGATTGCAAGCAGCAGGGCTGGGCGGGTATAGAGTTGGGGGCGGCACAGTCCAGGAGTTCCATCTCACCAGAGGATCCGAGAGAAGCTCGTGCCAGGAGCTGCTAGGGATCCAGAATCCTGTTCCAAAGCCCTGGAAACCAATCTGTCCTCAGTGTTTAAGGGAAACCATCCAGTTTCCAGAGATATCCTTACAATACATCCCCGTTACTGAAGGGAACACTCCCTCTGTGCCCCTGACAGGGTCTGACCGACAGACACCCTTGGCTCCTCAAACCTGAGGGGGTCGTGGGAGGGGACGGAGGAGGAGGGCTGGGGACAAGGGTGGGTCTCCACACTGGCTGCCTTTCACTGCATCCTGCCCCCCGACTCCTGCCCAGAGCCCAGCAGGTGATGGGGCCCAGGAGAAGCCCCGGGCCTCCATGCAATCTCTGATGGGCCATCACTGACACCAACCCCCCCACCCCCACTCAGGCGTCTTCGTCGCCACCACTTGCTTATCCGTGAGGAAGTCGTCATGCCTTCTGCCCGCCTCCCCTACCCCCTGCCGCCCCGCTCCTCCTCAGCTTGGCTCTAGTCTTCCCAAGACATGGATCCCCATCTCCTGGTGTTCAGCCTCTGAATCCCACTGAGCGTGGCCCTGGTAGAAAGTGGCAGGGTAAGGGGCAGGGAGCAGGGTCTTCTCTTTATATGTATCATTTCCAGTAGTGGGTCTGAACCTGTGCCTTTCAAATCTCCCAAATGTTTCTTTGAAAAGCCCTGTGTCCCAAAGCCTGTGGCAAAGTCAGAACCTAGGGTTGCTGGCAGCGGCCTGAGTACCGAAATGGACATTCTGAGCTAAGGACCCACGTGCCCAGGGCTCGAAAGAGGCCTCAGCTCTCCTCTCGCGCGTGCCCAAGGCCCCTTCTTAAGCCACCACGGACAGCTGTCCACCGAGGCTGTGATTTAGAGCGGTGCACAGTTCTTCCTTTAGAGAGACACCAGTCCCGGGGTGGGGAGCAGGGGCTCACGTGGCCCCTGCTCCCACCTGCTCCCTCCAGGATGTCCTGCACGTGAAAGTACACATAGTTCTCCGCTCTCTGAGGAGCACCGAGGATGGAGAGCCTAGGGAAGGCGGGGGCAGGTTTAATCAGGTCCCGCCTCCAGCAACCCCCAACCTCAGCCCCATCTCCCGGAGACTTTCCCTCCATTTCAGGCTTTCTGTGTCCTCTGCCCTCTCAGGGAGACACACGTGGAACCTCTCAGGAAAACAACACAGGTTAGTACCACTGGGGCAGCGGCCCTGAAAACCCAGTGGGAAATCCGGCTGGAGGACTCGCCGGCCGTCTGGGGTCAGTGAACTGCGTGGGGACATTCACCTTTCCGCGAATGCAGCGAGGACCCCGCTTCTCTGGGAAATGAGTCATTCCACATGCATTATCCTTCTAGCTCCCTGACACTGGTCACCGCAGCTTCCACATTTCTTTAAAAGTTTGGTGGTTTCAAAAGAAACTTTTTTAAAAAACAAATTTATCACCCATGACCCACTCCTCTGCCTTCTTAAACTAAATAATGTTAAACTGCAGTCAGCTGCCCTATGATGGGGTCACCAGTGGGTGTGCCCACACTGCTGTGTGGGGGTCACCCCCCCGCTCCAGGCAGCAGGGGCCGTGTCCTAAAGTTGTCTTTCTACCCTCTTGGCACCCAGGTCTGCACGTGGCCAGCAGGGAGGCCATGTGCATTTGTGGGGTTATGATGACGAAGCCAGCGGAGGCTCCAGGCAAGCTGGAAGCTCTAGATTCCCTGAGTAAAGACGTCTACTGTGCTTGGACCCTCTCTTGCCATCAGATTACCAGGTTGCCAGACAGTCAGGCTCTCCTTCATTCTAACTTTTTTTTTTAATCAAAATATAGATCACCTATCACTAAATGTACCCTTTTAAGGGGCGGTTTTTAGTATATTCTCAAAGTGGCACAACCATCACCACTAATTCCAAATATTTTCATCCACCCCACAGAAGAAATGCGCATCAGCTGTCACTCCCCATCCCTTCCCCCAGCCCTGGAAACCCTTACAGTCCCCCCTCCTCTGCCCTGGACTTGTTTCTTCTGGACATTTCCTTAGAAATACGATCTTGGTATCTGGCTTCTTTCATCAGCATAGTGTCCTCAGGGCCCACCCACGTCTGACTGGTCCTGTCACTTCCCCTTGCGTTTCTAACCTTCTGTGAGCAACAGGACAAAACCAGTTAGAGCAGAAAGACTTGTGTAAAAACCCTGCGGTCTTGTAAACACATGGGGCATTGGATGGGGGGGGGGGGGCTTTTATTTCAGGTGCTCAAAAGTGTGGCCTGCTTGCTTCTAGTCTTTGGCTATTTTCTCAATGGCCAAGGCTTGTGGGAAGGTGACTCCCAGACAAGGAAACCATCAGGGTAAGAATTATTGATTTCTCTTGTGCTCTTCATTTTCACACATCCTTCCACGTTTCTCCTGCTTGGAGTCTCCCAGTCACACTGAAGAACTGGTCTATGTGAGACAGAGAAATGCAGCCCCAGACGCTCAGGAACAGCACCATTTACCCACACAGCTTGACCTCCATCTGCCAGGAGCGGGCATAGGGCCCTGGACCAGGGCATCCTGGTGGACATCATTTCCCAGGACACCAACGTCAGACATAACCACTGACCACAGGGGAGACCAAAAAAATAAAAGTTACTCCTTCACAATCTGGTCTAAGCAGACACACAAACGTCAGATGTCTCCCCATCTTAGTGACGCACCCACTGCACTCGAACCGTCCACCAAGCATCTCACCTTCTAGGTGATTAACTGAGATCCACAGTCAGAGCCTCCCACCTGCTTATCGATGTTATTCAGAGAGAGACCCTGCCACCTTAAGCTACACCCTCCCCAGAATCGTCCAACACAAGCCCAAGCCCCGAGAGTCCCTTCAAACACTTCTTCTACAGGTGAGC